CAATAAACCGATACGACAAAATAGAAAAATTAGCTTTGTCTTTATTTGTCACGGTTTTTTTAAAAAGGGGTTTTAAATGTTCGCTATAATTTAAGATCATGTCTTGTTTGACATCGATTATATGAAATTTTTTACAAGTACCTTTAACTAGTTCTTTATACTCCTCTGGTAAATATATTCGTTCAAGCTTTCTTCTGTTTTTCTCGATTAAACCGAATGCACGGTCACAGGGCAAAAAGCTATGGCCGGGCTCCGGATACCGATGTATTATATTTTTTATGCCATATAAATTTTTTGTTACAATCGTATACAAATATTGTGTCAAAGCAAAATTCTTATTTTGTGAACTGCAGTTGTCTGAGAAAATGTAAACGTTTTCTACAGTTTGGTTCATAATTTTCGAAAAATAATATTGCAGAAAACTAATAACTTCGTTTTGTCCTTTGWGTGCCGTTACTTCATCATACATAAAAAAGTACGATTTCCCAGTTCTTGCAGAATGAATACAAAAGTTGTACACCTAAAGTTGCCTTTTATAGAACACGTCCCCACAGGGAATGTGAGGTAACGGCATGTTTTGTTGGTAATCGAATGCTAAGACATCTATTTTATTACCTTCTACCTTTGCCTCAACAGTTCTTTGGCTCAGATCACTGTAAAATACATCGGCTTTTGATAGGTGTAATAATTTTTCGGTTTCCATTTTTTTWWWWATATTTTCGTCATTTTCAGTGGATATTAAATTTACTAAATTATCACAAGTTTGGCACGTGTCGGAGCGTGGATACCCGAAAGACAATTTAAAATTTGTATAGAAACGATTTCGATAAAAATGATCGGAAACTGTTGGTTTTATGCTATTATTTTTATTTTTCATTAACTCCCATGTTTCATTTTCATATTTCATTAAATAAAGATTATACATTTTGCTTATATTCAGATCCGGCGATAAATATCTTACTTCATCATTCTTAGAACGGCTATAATGCGATTGACGAGCGGGAAAACTTTGAATATGTGTATCAATTTGGAATAAAATGTGTTCATCTTTTATATTGCCTCTATTTCTGTGTTTTCCTCGTCTATCCACTGGGCTCGGTACGTTGTTTTGGAGCAACTTAACAATCCTTTCCACTCTAGATTTTCCAATACCGAARAAAGAACAAAATGACTTTTTACACACAACTTTTTCAACATGATTTATCCTAACTTTATAAATACATGAACAAGATCTTGGTTTAGTGTTATTTTTTGGTCTATGTCTTACTACGTTATTTATTTTTATCAAGCCCGCAATGTACGTATCTTGTTTTTCCTTATTTCCGATTTGGTTAAAACAACTTAAAATTTTATGTTTTTCTTCATCACTTACTTTCAAAAAACATTTATTTTTACACTTACAATCCGGCCCTGTTTTCCTTTGTAAAATATGTTTCCCACGCAAACTATAATGCTCATCCCCAGACGCATTCGCATTTTTACACTTATTACGTTTCCAGTTATTAGGATCTTTAATTTTTTTTTTACCTTTACCTACGGTTATTTCTTCATCAGAGTCTTCTATAACACGTACYCCGTCGTCACCATCAACGCCAAAAGTATTGTTAGTTTCTTCTGCATTTTTACGTAGTAACTCTTCATATTCAGACATATTTTCGAAATCTGATACTTCTATTGGTGAATTCGGATTCCCATAATCTGGATCACTCATAGTGTCATCAAAAGAGCTTAAGTCACTAATATCACTCATTTTAAATTTGATTTAAAAGTATAAACGTAGAATTAACTTACAATATATTTTAATACTAGAAATATTAATAATATTTTGCTATTATCGAATATCGAGTGTGATTGTAGTGAGCAGCCCGCCACTAGTAATACAGTGATACGTTAACACAATCATAACAAGAGGACCATGTGCGAATTAACAGTGTTCCCAATGCAACAACAAGATATCTCCCACTATTTATTTTAGGGCAACAACAAGATATCTCCGGAGATGTCTTGTTGTTGCACTAAAATAAAAACCAGACATCTCCATTTATATGATATCTTTGTATTTAGCAGTCGGATTTGTCTGGTTGTTGCACTAAACGACGCAGTTTTTTTTTCTTGATAATGTACAATCAAAAACTGATTTTGGCCAAAATATGGAGATGTCTTGTTGTTGCCCTCAGGTCTTCAATTTTAGGCTATATATTATATATTTTATGTTACAGATATATTTATCTAATATACATGCAGTGGAGGCTTGTCTGGGGAGACTTTAAAATCAAGTTTTCCATATATTCAAAAAATCTGTAGTAATATTGTTTTAAATAATTAGAATGAGAAATATTTAACAATAATGATAATATTATATTATGTATCTGAATGACTGAATTGAAATATTGTGTTTTTCATAATATTATAGCAAGCTAGATAATTTATAAATAGGTCATTCGACGGGTTTTTGAAGTTTTTATAAAGATAACGACGCCGCGGCCGCGGGCCGGCTGTTTCAGTCATAACATTATAACATATAATGTCACTTCGCGTTTATGGATGGTATTGACAATTGAAACTGAGTTAAATATGGATTAAGTAAATTTACTTTATTATAATATTATGCTGGGTTCAATAATTGACGATTGCATGACGTCGGCTGTCGCACCGGGCATCATTATTATCATCACTATTTATATAGGTATTATTATATATTTATATAGTCACGCATAATTGTACGCCGCACTTTTCAGTGTTACTCTGCGTCCTTTATTATTAGTAAAATTTTATTTTTATAATATGTTTAAATTTTTAGTCTGCTCAGCATATTTAACCACGGGCCACCATCCAACTGTTATATAATAATACATACATTTTGTATGTGTATTCTTACATACCTATAATTATTATATTATAATATAATTTTTAAACATTAATATATGTTTAGTAAATATTTAGGTTTTAATACTATTAACTAATGTATTATAAATATTAAGAGCATAATATTGATGGAATACTTACAAAACGATATTTCATTTATATTAATATACTAACTGAATTTAAATATTAAAATTTTAGCTATACAATAGTCTTAAGTAAATGTTGTACAATAAACGTTAATGTTTCAATCATAAATTAAGGTTAATTTAATATTAAAATATGTAACTGTTTTAAATATATATAAAATAATGTAAAACCAAGTTAAATTAAACGTTTACTTTTGAGTATTAATAATTTAATTCAAAACCAATATTTAAATAAGTTTAAACACTAATAATTGTTATGTGGGGTATTTCTCGTCAAAATGAAGTTATTCGCTTTCGATTAAGTTAATTTTATTGTTWTGTTCATGACTGAATTGCTTATTTTTATTTTTTTAGTCTTCCTAAATTTTACCGTATAAACCTAACCTTTACCATTATGCTTAGAATCGAATATGATTTTAAAAATCTAAAAACTTAGATTTTTGTGTTGTGTGCTCCTTTAAAGTTTCTGTCGTTAATGTGTTTTCGTTGCTGTCTATTGACTTGTTATACTCAATATGTCAGGGCTTTTTAACTCCCAAAACCTTTTGATCGTGGTAAGGATAAGTCAGATTAAATATCATCGGCCGATATGATATTCGTCGATTAAGATCAACCGTTTGTTAGTGAATATTATTCATACTGTTTAAAGTTGACATGGTCCTTAAATATTCTTTATAATCTTGTACACATTTCATAAAAATCATTTATATTTTTTTACTATAGAGTTTTTTTCTTCATCCTAACCTATCCAAACTTAATATCTACAGGAATACCTTACAAAAAAAAAAAAAAAAATAAAAATAAATAAATAAATAATTTCACTGTACATATTTTACAAAAAATAAATATCTACAAAGGTATTTTAAAAAGGTGTTTTACAATTTATTTATTTATTTTTGATTAAAAACTATCTGTCCGGATCGGGTTGATATCTTACTTCGCTGATCGGGTTGCCTATAAAATTAAAAAATATTATAAGTAAAATATTACAAGTATGAAATTATTAACTTACTCTGTGTAGTAGTGTCCGTGAGCCAGGGTATGTATTTTACCCTCAAGTACAATCCTCTTGTCATCGAAACTATTTTAAGTCACTTTGTTCGACTTTATGGTCTTCAATTGATGTTTGAATGAACTTATAGAGACATTTTCTGTCATAGTTTCCAAGGTTGCATCTCCAAACAGACAACGATAATGATCGTTAAATTTCATGTGGTTTTTCACTACACGTCCACGGATTCCTTTCGCCCTGATCTTCTCTTTCCCATTGATCTTATATGTTTAAGACTTTGCACGGAGAGCACAAAAATGTGTCATTACCTCTGAGTTAGTTTCATCGGAAAAGAGTCCTGGTATCTTCTTTCGTTCGGCAATGTAGCAAGGGTGATCTGGTGGCAAGTCTGATGTATCCATTCGATCAAGTAAATTGGAATTATTCTTAAGGTCTTTGTAAAAATCATMGGTCTGGACATAGTATACCAGTGAATCTGGAAAACAATATAATTTAATATATGAAAATTAGTATAGYTTGAAAACATTYWCCTGTATCGGTATACATGAGCTCAATTTTATCTCCATAATGGGCTTGCATAACGTTGTAGTGATAATCATACATGACGGTCTTAGAAATTTCCAACACTGCAAAACCTGTTGAAAAWAATATATTAAAATTCAGCTACTATAAGAAGTATATTATATTTACTTATATAAATAGGCTTGCAAAAATCAATGATTTTATTTTCCAACGATATGGCATTGAGATTTTCATCGTATGTAGTGCAGTGTTTAAACGTACACTTATTTATAAGCTTGTGTAAACGTTTTTTACTACAAATCAGCTCAATTTGAATTCTCTTCCTAACGGATTCCATCGTCTTTCCAAAAACAGCATTGTTTAAAAGTTTAAAAAAGTCTCTCTCAAACGCGTTCCTCGCCTTATTTCTCATCTCTGTGTTTAATTCTATGTATTTCTTAAGCCAGTCTGACTGATTAAACTGAATAACTCTGTGAACCTATAATAAAACAAAATATGTTATAAATGAAATAAATATGTTAGTTTTTCCAGTGGCGTAGCCAGGAATTACCCGAGGGGGGGGGTTTAATGACTTTTATTTTTGCTCAACTCTAAAATATATTGTTCAGGAGTGGTAAAACTATGTAAATGCGCTAAAATGTACCGAGTTATACGCTTATTTAGWAATACATATTTATGTTAATATTAAACACGCAGTACATACTTATTGACTTATTATTATAAACAAGTAAAAATAGAAAATAAAAAAAAATTTAAATTGTAATATTTATATTAAAGTTAATATATTTTTTCACATTATAAATTACAAGCTATATATAGCTTCTTGTTCTAAGACGAGCTAGAAAAAAAAATATTAAATTATAGCTTAATTTGAAATTTTCGATAATATGTTAACAATATTGAACTAAAATTATAAAATTCTTACTTCCAAATTGATTGGTTTTCTTCTTGGCGCCCTTGGTTTGCTTTTTTGCTATAAAACATAATTTAAAAAAACATTTAATTAGATTATGTAGGTAGATTCTATGTTATAAACAAGGCAAACTAAAAAACCTACTTTAACTGGCTTAGGCATATTAAAATTCAGGTACCTTGGATTACAACAGTAATTTACAACGAATTTCATCCAGCGTCTGGCTACTTGGGTGGAGGGATAAGATAAGTTTTTATTACGCCATGGTAATATTATTTTAATTGTATCTATATTATTATAAATATACTTGGTGATATCTCAACTCGTGTATAGTGTGTAGATGTGTTCATAAATTAGAAGTAGTACATTTTAAAAATCTGTCTCCACCGACACCACCCACCACCGTCCACCGCTATCACCAACCCAAAAAATCAAAGGAGCCGTGGCGAGTTTTTCGTAATAGTGGTCATTAAACTATTTGCTACGCTTTTTCTAATATTTCGTATTCATATACATTTTTTTTTATTATTCGTTTATAATGTAATCAATATTCTACAATTAATGAAAATAATAATATTACTTACGTATTTTTTTTTTAATTTTCTTATAATGTTCAAATAAATATACAAAAATAATCATCATGAAGCAGTTTCATTGTTCGGACTTCAGATCATTGGTAAACACTTCACCAATCAGCTGATCAAGTTTCGCTTCTATATTATATGCTATAACATCAGTGTGTTACGACCATAGATATAATAGAATGTCTATTATGTCTATGGTCACAATGGATATTATATTTTTGTGTTTTCATCAGTAATCTCTTATCATATAATGGTTTTGCGCATGCGCAATGATGACTTCGGCTGCCATGACTGCCATGCATCAAGATTTTAAATCAGCTCTATCCAGTGTATATGATTTAAGGTATGTGGCAACCGCTATAATCTAAAAAACTTGTATAGATAATAAAAATTGCCTCACAATTGAGTAAACAAAACAAACATCTCGCAATGTGACATCATTGCCGTATACCACGACCATCATACGAATATAATATTCCAGATACCTACGCCATAGATTTCATTGATGTGTACACTCCGCGCACGATAAGATGATGACCAGTCGCGCATCCAAAACCAGTTCCTCCACCGCACCGCTCGCCATGGCGGCCCGATCCACTTTTGTTTACGTAATGCGTGCAGTGGCACGCGTTAAAAGCCGTGCACATGTTTATTAAAACGCACTCCACCACGCTGTATAATTGTTAAATTATTTTACGGCGGCGCGGCGTTGCGAGACACAAGTCTCGCAAACAAATAACAATACAACTCAAACAGCCAAACACCCAACCAAGTTGTAATTATTTTACAAATAATATAATCATTAATAATAATTGTTATAATTATATTATAAAACAATGAATTAGATTAATATTATAATGAAAAAATATTTTAAAATAATTACACAAATTTACAATTTATTGATGAAGTACATAATTTAATTAATCAAATACATTCGTAATCAGACGAATCTGAGGTATCGCCAGTTATTGTTAACCTTTCAATGCGCGATTTTTTATTTTTATTTCTTTATTTTTATTTCTTATATATTTTTAGTGGTAGATTTATGTAAAAATGTTAAAAAAAATCCTACTTCAATATTTTCCCGAGAACTTGAGATTTTCAGATTGTTGCATATTTGCAACATTGCGCATAAGAATAATATAAATTAATAATTATAACACAATGTAATTAATTCAGATTTCACTTTATTTTTATTCTTTTCTTTAAAACATAACATGACATATTTATTATTTATAAAATACCCTTTTAAAATTAAAAACTTAATCATTTAATTTAACAAATTTATAATATATTATATAGGAACAATATAAAGTTAATATTATAATATTTCTCACTGAATTGTTTGATATCATACCTTGAAATTATTATATAAAATTGCACATTAGTTTCAAATTATTAAAATCCATTAMACTGTTGGATTATAAAATATATATATAAACGCAAATTGGTTAATTACATAGTATGATAATTTGTAAAACAGTTACAATTTTTTTTTATGCATAAATATACCTCACATTTTTTACATTTAAAATATGTGTAACCACTACAATTAGGATGTTTGCATCGTCCTTTTTTTTCTACTGAATCCGGCCAATGGCCAATACAGTCTTTCCTTACATCTTGAGAAGGCAGAGGGGTTGGTCTTGTTCTATTTTTCTTATTTATATCTTTTTCCAAACACGGCCGTCCTCTAGTCGGAGTCTGGACATTACCAATATTAGTCAAAGTATGAGCTAAAGTTTTTCGCCATTCTACAAGAGTATACTCAATAGGTTATTCAATTTGTATTCTAGCCCTTTTATATAATAACCACGAATTTACTACAGATGTATCGATAAGATGATAAAAAATTCTCATGTACCATTTTCTCGATCGCATTCGAATTTTATATCGGCCAATAAGACTGTCTAATAGGTCCACCCCACGCATGAATCGATTGTATTCTTTTATAATGTTTGGACAGTCGATATCAATTTTTTTTTTAAATTTTTTGTCGAATCTTTTTGCAGATTGCATTGGTAGTATTCCACAGTATGTCGATAATAAGTTCACTTGTTTGTTATCTTTCCAGGAAGTTACAGAAATTGGTGTGTTTTCATATACAGTTAAATATTCATAAGATTTTCCCCGCGGGTCATTTTTTATTGTTCTTTCATCTGGAATTTTATTATTTGGTAAGCGATCTTTCCTGATTGTCCCTAAGCACAATATTCTATTCTGCTTTAGGTACGCAGCTAAAGGAATACTAGTATAAAAATTATCGAAATAAATTCTATGATTTTTATTACGTTCAATATTTCTGGTGAGCCGTACTACTATATTTGAGCTAGCACCAAGATCAGGCTCGTGTGGTAAACGAAATCTACTATCATTTTCTTGGCCTGAATAAATTTCAAAATGGTAAGAAAATCCTTTCGAATCACACAAGACAAAGAATTCAAACCCCCATTTGTGTGGTTTAGCCGGCATATATTTTTTTAAATAACTTCGTGCTTTTGTTGCACATACTCGTATTTGTTCGTCGAGCAATAAGTCCCTTGGATACGGAATTGAATTAAATTTATCATTTAAATAGTCAATAAGTGGACGTATTTTATGTAATCGATCAAAATTTGGATGTTGTTTATCTAAAATTTTACTGTTATCATTGAAATGTAGATATCTACGGATTTCTTCGAAACGTTTTTGACTTAACGATTTATAAATATGAGAAATACCTAAATGGTCGCTCCAATAGTCTCTAACATTTGGGATTACACAAATTGAATTATAAATCAAAATGCCTATATACCTTTTGAGCTCGTTTATTGAATCCGTAAATGCTTTATTTACATTTATCTGTGTAGCGAAGAGTTCAGTTTCATATTTAATATTAGTGAGAAAATCGTCATTGAAAAAATATGTGAAGAATTGATATGGGGTAGTAAGTTCTGTAATATTAATGGGCAACATATTTTCATTATGTGTGATTAATTGAGGTTCGTTTACTAAATTACCATTTTTCCATTTTAGGTTTTGGAATTCTACAGTTTTTTTTGGATTTTTTTGTGTAGGATTCTTGTCAGTCATACATAATTCAGAATTAAGCAAAAAAGTTGGACGAAAAGTTTTAGTTACATGCGATTCTGCTGTAGACTGTATATCAGATGAACATAAATTATAAGACACTGGAGTAGGAAATGTATTTTGTTGAATATTACTTGTAAGATGTACGTTTTGAGGGATAAGAATATACTCACCTTCATCGCCAAATTCAATTGGTAAACTATCTATATCAATTAAGTCTGGGTCAAATAGAGGATGTTCTTTACTAGTATGATCTTCATTGATAAATAATTCATTATCGTCATCAGACAATTCAAAATCGTCTCCGCTTTCATCCCAATTATTAACCAAAAGACAAATTTCTGCGTCATTAAGAATTTTATTCATAGTTTACGCGCAATGTTGCAAATGTGCAACAATCAAAAATATGTAAAAAAAAATATATATAAAAGCAATTTTCAGCGTGAAACAGCACCTTACAGTTATTAAAACACACTTAGTAATATAAAAACATTTTTTTTTTGACGTTCTAGCGTAAAATTCAAGAAATTACGGCATTCGTAAAAACTCGAAAACGGATAATTGGATTATAGCGACATTATCAAAAGTAAACAGTAAATACGGTTGATAACGTAACTATCAGCTGATCCAAACAATTATTTTTTACTAAACAGTTGTTAAGCTATCCACTAGATGTCAGCATAAATCGAATATACAATATATATATATATAAATTATGACAAAAGATTGTTGCAAATGTGCATCACTGCGCATTGAAGGGTTAAAATATGTCGCGAATTGGTCTGGACTTCATCAATCAGCTCGTCGGAAATGAAGTCGACATCCCAAAACTTCTGTTCCTCGCCTTTCACATGTCTTATGAAAGACTGCAAATCTTCTGGTTTCACCCTGTCAATGGCTTGGTGAAGCAGATGTTTGACGTCGGTAATCTTGTAAGTTGTGTTATTAGATTTTACAAACGACTTTACCATTGACCATACCAATACGATTAGGTCTTAAAACCGTCTTTCCGGAATCTTTGGCCATCTCATCGATTACGTACAAGTTGTAGGGGAGAGCGGGGCAAGTTGGCGATGTTAAGATTCAATTTTTTTTTTTATGTAAATATTTGATGTGAAGATGTGAAATTTTGTACACACATTGTATAAAATATTTAGAATCATTAAAAAAAAATATTATGATTTTATACTCAATAGTTTAGAAGTTAATTGAGTTCTATTTTATTTTTTCAATTTCGTCATCTTGCCCCATGGTTGGGGTAAGTTGACTTTGTGCCGGGGCAACTTGACTATATCTATTAGAAATAAGTTTCATTACTTCAAAATAGTTTTTGTAGTTATATTATTTAAATCATTTAATAGTAATTATTTAAATACTTAAAAATATTCTTACCTTTGACTTTTTATTTATGTATCTACGTAATGTTGCCTCCGGTATATTAAATTTCTTTGCTGCAGAATTGCGAGAAATAGATTTAAGCCTTACTTCATTTATTGCTCTATTTAAATTACTTCTGGACCATGAACCTTTAGTAGATTTTTTGACATAGTTTCTGACCATTTTAACAGCCAAGTAAAACTAAACAATTATGTATACTCAATTATAGGTGAAGGTAGATTTTACAAACATTTTAACACATATTTATATAATTTTAATACACATTTAGTAAATAAATAATAATAAAGATAATTCAATTACCTAATAATAACTACAAATTACACATCGATATTGAATTACATAAAAATATGATAAAATGAATATCTCCTTACTATAAAGATTGGAGGCGAGTTGACGAACTCGTCATCTTACCCAAGTCAACTTACCCCAAATGATGATCATACAATAAAAATATTATTTTTGTATTTAAAAAAAGACTGAGTTAAATTGTAAAGCAACTAATACAAAGCTCAGAATATGTACTTAATATAAGTATCAAACAAACTGAATGAATACTTTTTTTTTGTTCATAAAACCTTATTTTCTGACTAAGAGTTACTAGAGTCCCGTGAATGTAACTAAAATTTTACTACTACATATTCTATGATTCCCTTTATTTGTTATATATTTTGAATATAATTGATACTTATAATGTTTGTTCTAATATTATCTATAGTCCGCGATATGAAAAGTGGCCGATGACTTTCGCGAACCTAGCGGACGATTCGCCTTAGTGGTTCATAATGTAATTAAATTAATTGCCGCGTTTTTTTGAATTAACCATTTCAACGCGTAATGTACGCGGTAACTCCTAAACTCCAAAGCTCCTATACAAATGATTTTATATTTCAATTTTAAAAGTGTTACCAAATAAGTTACAAACCATAACCATTATTTATTATTATTTTATCATTTTGTTATTTATTATCTATTTATAATTACTTTTTTTCACCATTAGGAATTTTTAGATAAAAATCAGGACTGAAAGAGTTAAACAAAATTTACTAAAATTACTGTAAAATATTTTATAACCAATTTTTTTATTCAAACCAAACATTAAAAAAAATTTTTAAATAAAATTACAAATACAACATTTTTTTAGTTAAATATTATTTAAGACATATCTTATCCGTGGTTTTCTTCGTCAATATCTTCGTCATCGCTCCAGTCACTGTCATCTGGTGATATTGTCATAATTATTAGTTCCATCATGGTGTCTCTCATCATTTCTTTTTTGTTGTCCTCGTCCTGAATTTCTTCTGCATGACGAACGCATTTCGTCCAGTCGTCAATTGTTACTGCATCTAATGCCTCGTGTGTTAACCGCTCAATATCAACCATTTTAAAAGTATTATTGAATTTCGCTACTTGGCCCTTAACTTGAGCCCAAATTAATTCGATTGGATTATACTTACAGTGGTATGGTGGAAGATGGATTACCTCATGACCCATTTCAATTGCAATGTCATCCAGCTCATATTTTTTTTCACGTGGTAATAGGTTTTTAACTTTTTGTCGAAGTTCAGGTAATGTTTCCAATGGATGGAACTCGATATTTTTTTTATTTAACCAGTGTTGTACTTCGGCTTTTCTCCAATTACTTTTAGGATATTTGTCTCTGAGGATTRAATGGTAAGGTGCATTATCCATGACTATGACTGATGGCTCTTCAAGATTTTTTAGGAGTTGAATAAACCACTCTTTGAACACTTCACCATTCATCTGATTATGATAATCCGTGGTATTTCCGGTATTGCTTCGAAATACCAATTTTGACCCTTCTATAAACCCGTAGCGAGCACATCCTGCATGGCATACAATAAGTCGGCCTCCTTTACCTCGTCTGAATTATTTTCATTTTGCCAAATAAGGGTCCGTGAATGGTTTTGGTTTACCCACGTTTCGTCGAGATAAACCACTGGCCGATCGTCTTTATTTTCTTGCAGCGTACACATTTGTCGTAAAAATTACGTCCGAAGTGCGGCGATATCATTCCTCTCCATTAAAAACATACGACCATCATTACATCTTTTGTACGTAAATTTTAAATTTTTTAAGAGCCTTTGCATTGATCGAACGCACCCAGTGTAATTTGTTTTTTTTTTACGACATTTAATATTAACTGAGCCGTTGGGTACTCACCCCGGTCGTAAAACTCGTGGACAGTTCTCCTCACAACATCGGAATCGAAATCATCCATCTCTGAAACAGTTTTTGCACGTTCATACCCTTTACGTGGAGAAACAAACGTAGGATCCGCACTTGGTGTTTCTGGATTAATATTATTTTTTCCTTCAGCACAAATCTGTCTTACAGTACGATAACCCACACCACAAGCTTCGGCAGTAACAACTTGTGCATTTTTAAAAAAATCAGCAGTTAAATCTGACTTCTTTGATAATTGTTTTAAAAATAAATACACACTATAAACAATTTTTTTACTCTGTCTGTGAGTATCTGAATCAGAAAACGACATTTTTAAATGGATTACACGGTAACGCAGGAGAAAAAACAGTGTAAAAAATAGTTGTTTACGAGTGCGCAGTACACAAATACAAAAAGATAAACACGAGTGCCATAGAACGTGTTTGTATTATGTGCATTACTGTATTCCCTACCACAATACATTCTGCAGCTGCCCTCCGGCATTCCAGAAGATCCGCTAAGGGTTCACAAAAAAAACCAGTCTACTATAATGTATGGAATACACGTTACGCGCAGATGCGTGGCACTACAATTGCCGGCGCCGGGCAGGAGGTGGTATAGGTTGAGAACCAATGGCTCATAGGTAGGGAAGCCGGAACGGGTCGCGGTACAAATCGGCCATTTTTCATGTCGCGGACTATAATATTTCACCTTTTTTTATAATTAGTTTTTTATTAATTAATTCCTTATGATAATTCTTAATAATATTATGATAACTGTTTACAAATAAATCACATACATTTTTTTTTTTTGTAGATGGCGAAGTTTCTAGATCTAACCAACGTAATTTAAAAAATGGATGAGACGTTGTTGATAAAATTGCTTGATTATTTACTTTAGGAGATAGTTAAAAATAGTTTTTAAAAAATTTCATAAGACTTACTAAAATGTCTGAAATTAAACTGGTTTGGGGTCTGATATTTAATATTTGATCTAGAGAACGGTTTTTAGTTGGATTCATACTTCCCGGCATACATTATAAACCTTGCATTTTTTCGTACTTCATTTTAAGAGCATAAAATGTTGGAATGAGTTTCCCGTAATAACAATTTTGACCTTGGAGTTTATCTAGCGCAATTGATAAAGGTTTTATAATATCTACCTATGTAATCGGATAAATATTATAATTCATTACTTTTGAACTGAGTATTGCTACCAAGGGATTCTAATACAGAATTCAGTTTTTCTTTAGCTTTTAGAAAAGAATCATACAATGAATTTTAGCGTGTTACACAAAGATAGTTTAATTTAAACCCCAATATCGAATAAACTTTAAGCATTGTCAACCTCAACA